AAAAAAATAAACATATGAAAAAAAAAAGAAGTGAGTCTTCGAATGTCAAATAGTTTAATTAAAGAAAAAAAAATCCCTTACAGGTGTGCACAGCCATTTCCGCTTTAGTTAATTCCAGATGTTATCAAGTTGAAAACCAGAATAGCCATCACTTTGTAAGGTTACCACACTCTTCCTGAAAGTACTTTGCAAATCACTTGTTAGCAGAGAAGAGCTTGGGTAAGCTGAAATTCAAAAGTGGCTTTCCGTTTACTGGTCAAGTTCTTTCTCACTTAGTCTGGTTAGCTGATGGTGTTCCGTGTTCCTTTTGTTTTTCTTAGACGAAGCTCTGGACTAACCCCAGTTTGATTCAACTCATGCTTTTCTTTGTTTAGGGGGAGATCTTGTTGATTCTTAACCAACTCTGGCTTTAAAAACTGTCTGACTCAAATAGCTTGAACGTAATACTGTACACTAATTTCAACAGGTTCAACAATGGATGGATGATTAAAATTGGAAGGGGCCTTGATTATTTTAAGAGACCACAGGTAGGCTATGACTTTATGATTCCGTGTGAGCACTGTTTCTGATACAGCTTTGTGACTCCATGTGAGCACTGTTTGCTTTCTTGCTTGTTCTGATGGACTCCTGGGCTCTTAGCCTGCAGAGAGGCTGGCACTCTAGTTGGAACATCATGCTTGGCTTCCCGTGTGAATCACTTTTAACAGCGCTCTTCTTTTCTTTATAGGGTCGTTTTTCTCTTGGATATTGTGACTTAGACCTGAGACCGTGTCATGAAACGACAGTGGACATTTTTCACAACAAACACACGAAAAAAATATGATGTGTAATGACCTAAGTGTACGTTTCTGCTGTAGGTGACTTGAGCCCATTTTCTGTTGCTAGAACTGAACATCACACACTGGATAATGTGTAAAGGATAGAGGTTTGGGCTTTGGTATTTGGAGAGGATCTTCCTTCTGCATCCCACATGGCACAATGCCAAAAAATGGAGCGGGCTTGTGAGTCAGAGCCTGACACCTCAGAGGTTTCCCCCTCTCAACACTGCTGAACTAGGGACCAAGATTCTAACTCATGAACTTCTGGGAACACATTCAAACCGTAGTAAGCAAATAGTGAGTTTGCTTCTCCTTTTTATCTACTCCGAACATATTTTTATAATATATGAATTTAACAATAAATGTTTACATTTCTACTAATTTCTGGATCAACTCATCTGTAAATATGCTGTTCAGCAGATTTACAGTGTTTCCTTTTAAGTCACGAAGTTAGCTGGAAGGTTTTCCGAGCTTCCTTCGGGTTGTTGGAGAGTAGTTCAGCAAGTGCTGCACAGCTGGTACGGGAAAACCCAGACGACAGCCTTGCTCCTGGGAATTTAGTGTTCCCAAGTGGAAATCATAGATTACAGTGCTTGTAAGAGATGTGTGGGCTGAGGGCCTGATCATGAGAAGGAAAAAAAAAAAAAGTACGTGTTGCTGAAGTTGTAGCTCGGAGTACAGCACATACCTGGTGTGTGCCAGGTCCTGGCTTCCATGTCTGACAACTCAAACAAGCACAGTGGTTTCAATTAAAATAGTTGTCAGCCAGGTTTGATGGGGCATGGTGGTAATCCAGCACCAGGGAAGTAGAGACTGGTGGATCCTGAGTTCAGAGTCATTCTAGACTATATAGAGCTTGAAGCCAATCAGGACTGGATGATACTCTACCCCCAAACACAACAAAAAATGGTAGCCTTTAGGAGATGTTCTCTGACTTTCAGACACCAACGTCACAGAGCTCCATAGTCAACTTAGCCTGTCTAGTTATCCTCATGTAACTGTCCTGGCAGGACCCAGGGATACTCTAATACTTGTTCCCCTCCTGGGGCTGTCAGGCACCTGCTACAATGATGGCTCCCAGTACATTGGCATTTCCCCAGGAATCTCGTGCTGGGAGAAGACTTGGAGCGTGGTACCAGCCAGAGGAGAAACTAGTCTCCCAGGAAGAAATCCCTTTCCCACAGTTCTGACAATTCAGTCAATCCATATGCACGCACACCTACCTCGACCCAGGAGCCTGGAACCTAGTCGATAAGGAGCCAATGACACTCATTCCTGGCAGCTGCTGCCCTGGTTTTTATTTTCCATGAACAAAACTTCTTGGAGGAGCTGATTTCCCATTTCCTCACCAACTGTTCAGGAACTTCAGTAGGTCATTAAGGTTGGGAGTAACCCAACCCATAGGCACTTTTGTTTTGCAGACTGGGTTTTCACTCTGTAGCAAAGGCTGGTCTCTGGATGGCAGTTTTCCTGCTTCAACCCTTGAATGCTGAGACTCAGGTGCGTACCATCACACCCAGCTCCTAGTGAACACTGTTTCAATTTATGCTTAAGTTATCTATAGGATGAAACTTAAAGCTGGTATTTTTTTCCCTAACCTGACTAACTCCCAGATAATTGAATCAGAGACCTATTGATTTAATCAACAGGCTTTAAGCACAATAACCAAGCAGATATTCCTAACCCTCTAGGTTGTCTTAGCTACTTCCCAACCACCTTCCCCCCTCCCCACCCTTACCCCCCACCTCCAAGTCACTTCCATTTAGTCTCTCCTTGGTTTGCTTTGCTGTAGCTGTCTGCCTCCATGGAGAATTCCTTTTGCTGTTCCTCCTCATTCCTGACCTTCTCCCTGGATACCCCCACCTCCATCGGTAGTCCAGCCTTCCTATCTCCTCTGCCCAGTCACTGACTGTTCGCTTTTTATTAACCAACCAGAGATAACTGGAGAGCATTCTTTATACATTGATACAGGAGATTCTTCGATATTCATGACAGTTTCATATACTGTCAAGTGCCTAGCAGTGCTTGGTATACGGTGTGTGCTCAATAAATACCCAGTACTGTAGGAGCAAAATGGATTAGTTGTACAGTTAAGAAGCAGCCAACAGAGATGATAGTCGCTGAAAAAGTTTGGAGTGTGAAAACTTGGAAAAGTAACAATATGAAGAATGGGATCTCAGTTTGGGACAAAGGATATGCTTACTGACTATGGTTAAAGCTCCAGTAGAAAGGCCAGATGTAAGGCAATAAATTTATGAATCATTGGCTGTGGGGGTGTACAGCTTTAATCCCAGCCCTCAGGAGTCAGAAGCATGCAGATCTCTGAGTCTGAGGTCCAAATAGTAAGTTTTACCCTGGTGAGGGCTACATGTTGGGACCATGTACTGACTAGTTTTATGTCAACTGGACATAAGCTACAGTCATTTTGGAAGAAGGAACCTTAATTGAGAAAAATGCCTCCGGCTCCCAGATTGGACTGTGGGCAAGCGAGGTGTATTTTCTTGAGTTTTGGTTATAAGGGCCCAGCGCCACCCCTGGGCTGGTGGCCTTGAGGGCTATAAGAAAGCAGGCTCCCTCCATGACCTCTGCATCAGTTTTTACCTTGAATTCCTCTGACTGCCTTCAATGATGGACTGTGACGTGGAATTATAAGATGAAATAGACCCTTTCCTCCCCAAGTTGCTTTTGGTCATGGTATTTTATCATAGCAATAGAAACTCAACACACCCTGTTTCTTACAAACAAAACAATACAAAAACCAACAACAAAACCCCCCAATGGTACAAGCAGGAGAGGACAAAATCCGAGTAGGGAGTTAGCCTTCAGGAAAAAGAACACAGTTTCTTCTCTGAAGTTTAATGAGAAGAGAAATGAAAGAAGACAGGGCCCTGACCTGAAAGGCTCATTTCCAAGGGCCAAAACTCTTAACAGATTATCAGTCAAAGTTTGTGACAAAGCTAAGGAGTAGAAACCAGGAACAGGCCACCTCAAGGCTGAAACAGGTTGAACCTGACACCTCTATTTCTTTCCTAAGGAGACATAAAATAAATTGTAATTAAAATTTTTTCTCGCTGAAACTGCCAGTGTAAAGAAAGTTATTGGGGGTCACATTATTCCCCTGATTTTTTCACACAGAATGTTCCATTTACTGTGTAAGTGATGGTCGTCTGGACTTGTCCTCAGTAATATATTCATCAGCAGGTTGGTTTCAACAGGGCAGAATTTGCTGCCAATGAAACTTGAGTTTAATTTGTCACCTATTTCCAGTGGCAGCCAGTGATCCGGTGCCTTAATATTGCAGGTTTCAATTCGACCGTTCTTTACGTCCATAAACACTTGGATTTCCAAATGCGCCTGCTCATTCGGCACGTGAACCGTGGTGTCCACGGTAAACTTGGGCGTCCTGCCGTATACCCACTCCCAACTTTGCAGTTCCTTGACTTTGCTGTTTATCCCAGGAAACACCGTCTCATCTGCAGGGTCTATTAGGTTAACGTGGTTATCAATTTGATGATACGCCGCATACTCTGCAGCCACAGCATTCATCAGAATTTCACAGGTCAGCGTGGAATCTCTTTCCAGAAGGTTTTTGACCGCAGAAGGGATGCTGGGAGTAGCGTTGCTCTTTATCCCGCGATACGGGCTCTTCAGTGAGGAAGACAGAGCTGTCCTGTTGGTGCTGCATAACAAGGTGCAGTGGTGGTACGCGGCAGTCCGGCCGATCTTTGATGCGGTTCCTGAGATTTTAAACTGCCCGTCAAGTAACAGGTCAAATTTTTTGGTAGGCTGTACATCCAGCTGGGGTTGGACAGCATTCAGAGCTCTCACGATTAGTTTCAGATTTTCCATTCTGTCATACTTGGTTTTGGTGGTAAAGAAGGTGAGATTGATGTTACCCATGTCGTGGTACACTGTTCCTCCTCCACTCTTCCTCCGAGCCAGTTTTATTCCATCCTGTCTCATCAGATGGAGGTTACATTCTTGCCATGGATTCTGATGCCTACCGATGACGACAGAAGGAGAATTTCTCCAAAGGAAAAGAATTGGCTTGCCTTCAAGATGTATGTGGTCGTGAATCCAGTCCTCTATAGCCAGATTTTCATACACATCATTGGAGATTGATTGTAAAATGAGCCCATGTGTGGGTGGGCTTTTAAAGCCAGCTGTTGGGACCTTGTGCTGACAAAGTAATCGGAAGCAATTCTTCATTGAATATGGAATTAGCATGCTTTTTTAAAAAAACAAGGCAAAAGAAGATAAGTTAATTCAATAAAAAAAAAAATTAAATTCTATTCTTTAGCTATTTGGTAATTATCCAAAACTTATCAAAGGATCTAGACCAGTTGCCTTTTTTCATCTTTTAATCTTAGCCTTAGTGGCTCTTTAATAGAGTGACCAAAGGAAATCAGTGAAGATAAACTTCAGATAATTTCAACTAAACTGAAGTAAGTGGTCTGGAGTAAACACATTGAGTAATGTATAACAAAGCCAAATAAATTATTTTGAATTCACAATACATTTTCATTGAGAAAAAAAAAACAGAAATATGAAAGAATCCAGAATCCTACCATCTGGAGATAATCAATTAACATTTTAGTATATACAACTGTTTTTGTTTCTGTTCATGTGTATACACCTTTACACATAGACATTTCCTCCTGAAAGTGTAATGGTACTGTTATTTCAATCATTTTCCACCCCTTGAGATGAGACTTCACTATGTTGCCCATCTGACCTTGAACCCCTGGGTTCAAATAGCCCTTTTTGCCCTAGCTTCAACTAGAATATTGAGACACTTTCACTTAACATTAAATTTATTTTTGTCACTGTGTATGTGTGTGAGTGTGTGCATATGCTCGTGCACGCCAGCACACATTTGTGCATGCACAGGTCAGAGGTCGACATCCAGGAGTCCTCTTCTCTCTCATTCTCCACTATATTCTTTGAGGCAGGCTCTCACTCAGCCTGAAGCTTAGTGATTGTCTAGGTTCACTGGCCAAAGATCCTCTTCCTGTGTGATCCCAGGGAGAAACTTCGAGGTCATGATGTCTTGGATACTAATAAACCAGAATGTGTCCATTGAAGTTGGGATTTGAAAAAGACTTTGTGACATACTCTCCTAAAGTGATGATAGTCACACTTAACATATATAGAGATTAAGGTAAAATAGTTGCTTTTACGTTTTAATGCTTGTTTTGCAACTAACTGAATCGCTTAAGACCAGTAGTTTAATCTCTATCTGATTATTGCCTATAATTGAATTAAAGAGCATATGAGATGAAGTGAAGTAGTTGTGATTACAGGGTCTTCTAATCCATTTCTTTGACTCCCGACTAAAGCAAACAGTCCAGCTATTGAAAGTCTGGTAGAATTTTGCTTCTACAAAGTCACTTTACATAGCGCCCCACATTCATATTTTATATTTTAGTTGAAAAAAAGTTATACAATAGATTTTGATCATGATCCTTCCCCTCCCCGTTTTCCCAGATCCCATCACCTCACACGCAACTTTATGTTCTTCCTTTAAAAAACAAAAGCATATGAGAACTAAAGTCAAAATAAGCAAAAGACAGGCTAGATTTAAAAAAATGCCAAAAACAGAAGGAAAACAAAACAAAAGCGCTCTCTCTCACACACACACAAAATGCCCGTGGAGTTTGTTTTGTGTTGGCCACCTACTCAATACAGCGCCTGGGCTGGGACGTAGCTGACACACCTACCTACACTCTATTTTAAAAGCTTTTGCTGAGCAAGGGATGGACTCAGGAACCGGTTCAGCCTAGGTTTGAGCTGTACCATGGAGCAATCCACCGCCAGCTCTCTGCTTTCATCTTCATTATTAGTGTTATATATATATATATATATATATATATATATATATATATATATATATTTTTTTTTTTTTTTTTTTTTTTTTCTTAGAAGGCTCTTACTTCCATGTTCTGGGAGACACTTCTGGACTGTCAACACATGCTTCTCCCTGACAGAGAGCAAAACAAGACCAAACCACAGGCCCACCTTCCTCACAAGGCCTTACTAAAACTATTTGCTATCCCCCTAACAATGCGATCCAAGCCTGGAAGTGATTACGGACTTAAGCAAGTTTACTCTTCGTGAGCAGTATTAGAAATCAACTGTTCCTAATAATGAAATTATGGTGTCCGGAGCACCACGTGTAATCTGCAGAGCTTTCAGTACCAGCAGGAGGGGCCCAAGGAATGCACGCGTGCTCACCGCAGCACCCACTCCCCACTACTGCTAAGCCTGTGCTGCTACAACCCTCAAAGAACTCACTGGATCTGCTTCCGGCTTCACCCACCTTCCACTTCCGGTCGCGCCCGCAGCAGCTTTTCTGCAAATTAAAGCTCAATCAACACACGTGGAACCTAGAGCACTCAGGTCGCAAGACGCAGTCGCTGCCGATTCCTCTCCAGCTACGCCCATAGAGACCGGCCCCCAGGAGGCCACGCCCCGTAAAGCCCGCCCCCTGGATAAACCATCTCAGAAGGGAACGTGGCCAAACCTCAAGTAGACTAAGCACTTTATTTCTTTGCTGTCCCTGTTTGTCTTTTAAGGTTGTTTGCTTCAGGTCAATGCATTTAAAACTAGATTCATGGAAAGGGCACAGTCCACTTATCAAAATATGTAAAGACCTAGAGATTCTCGAGCTGGGTGATTCCTATACTGGTTTCCTTCAGCAAGAGTTGGCTAAACTGTGCAGTCCAAAATGGTCTGTTCACACACAGGCAGGTGCTATTTAGCTGCTGGGGCAGTTCGATTCAAGGTAGTTGGAAGCAGCACTTAAACCACATTCTTACGGCCTCAGGAACAACAAAGACAGACTAGAGTTAAGGACCGAGATCACGGACCCACTTCTTGATGAGCAGAGCCCCAAGAATCTGTGGTCATCCCTCTGTCTTCCGCAGAAACCAGTCTCTCCTCCTTCAGTTAGAATGGAAGCCCTCCAGCCTTGTCTCTTGGAGTAAGAAGCACTCGTGTTCGGTTTGGTACTGTTAACACAGTAAGTGGACAGCGCTATTCCAGGGTATATAAACTAACTGCACCACAGACAAGACTCCTGCCTGTTACTGCAACTTTGATGAGGGCTCTCTTCGGCTGTATGGTATTATGAGGGGTAGGAAGGGATACTATTCCATTCATTATTGTAGGAATTTTGCAAGTTATCAAAATAGCCTCACATAGTGTTGCCCTTAGTAGGGCTACTAAATTAGTAGTCTGCTTCTAAATTTGTATTCTTTGACATCTGAGATGGGACAGGTTTTTGTTGTTGTTGTTAATTTCCTTCAAATGACCTTCCCTCACAGGTCTCCATTCTCTGCTCTAAGATGTCTGTCCTTTGGCCAGTTACCCTCTTTTTCTACTTCTTCAGCTTCTCCAACAACACTCAAGCGTGCTTTATAGTCCTCTGGTGATGGCAACTCTCCTCTCCTTCTGCCTTTTATTCTGTCTCCTCCTCCTTCTCTCCCTCCCTCACACCCAAGACAGAGTTTCTCTGTGTAGCCTTGGCTGTCCTGGAACTCACTTTGTAGACCAGCCTGGCCTTGAATGCACAGAGATCCTTCTGCCCCTGCTTCCAGAATGCTGAAATTAAAGGTGTGCTCCACCATGGCCAGCTCTGTCTGCTCATCTTAAAACATCTATTTGTGTGTGAGCTAGGGTTTCACCCTGTAAGTCAGGCTTGTCTGGAACTCGCTATGTAGACCAGGCTGGCCTCACAGAAGTCTTCCTGCCTTTGCCTTCCAAGCGCTGGGATTAAAGGCATTAGCACCATGCTCAGCCCAGGTTCTTTCATTTCAATATTAATCACCATATTAATGCTGAGATCACGCACATTATACAGCAAATCCATCTATATATATGTATACATGTAGGTTACAGAATGTATTAGTCAGGGTTCTCTAGAGTCACAGAACTTACGGATAGTCTTTACATAGTAAAGGAATTTGTTATGATGACTAACAATCTGTAGTTCAACTCCCCGACAATGGGCAGCTGTGACTGGGAAGTCCAAGGATCTAGTAGCTGCTTAGTCCCACGAGGCTAGTAGATTCTAACAGTTGTGCTGGCAAGTAAATGCAAGCAGGCTAAGAAAATAGAATCTTTTTCCAATGTCCAATGTAGGTCTCCAGAAGAAGGTGTGGCCCAGATTAAAGGTATGTATCACCACACCTGGATCTGGGACTTGTTTTGTCCCAGGCTGACCTTGAACTCAGAGATCTCCTTGCCTTAGTCTCCTGGGATTCATAGCCACTATGCCTCAAGATCTCCATGTCAAGATCCAGGTCAGAAACTTGTATCTCCCAGCCTCAAGATCAGGATCACAGGTGAGCCTTCCAATTCTGGATTGTAGTTTATTCCAGATAATCAAGTTGACAACCAGAAATAGCCATTACACAGTATGACTACAAAGGGTTAAAGAAACAAGGAGTTGTAAGTCATTAAAAACAGACCTGAGAGTCCAAAGCTAGAAACTGACAGAAAGGCAAAGGAGTCGACAGCTGTCAGATACAAAACTAGCTTAAGTTTTTGGAAAAGGATGTGGCTGCTGCTGTAGAGTCAGGCTACGGGCTCAGAGTTGAGCTGTACAGTTGAGTCCAGCTGCAGAGGTGAAAGGGCAGGACCTAGTCCAGAAGAACAAATGGGTGGATGGGTAGATGCAGATCTAGATTAGCAAACAGTCAGGCAGACGGTAATTTGAGTAGCCTGTGTTAACAAGCAGGACAAAGCAGAGCTGAAGCCCTTGGAGAGCTGGGAGTTGTCAGGTTCTCAAGACAGACCCACAAGGGATGGTCAGATGACAGGTTAGTAGGGCCTTCGGCATTACAGTCATAAGTCTCTGCCCTCTGTTGGGTCCGATTTCCCTGGCCTATGTATCTAGAATGTTCTCAGGAACAGTTTTCCTGGTGTTTCATTATGTTTTTTTTTTTTTTTTTTTTTTTTTTGCTATGCTATGGACGTGATAGCTGCTGTCATGGTTCTACCAGTGCTTTGCTTTCCTTTTTCACGGCACACCAACAGCTTGTATCAGACATAGCTGCTAACAGTGTCTCTCTGGCACCACCGTGAAATGGAGGCAGTGGCTGTTCTGTTACAACCCTAGCACCAAGAATGACTCTGGATTAGGTGAATTTGTTGTGTTGCTTGTTGCTTTGACAAAATATCTAACAGAAGGAACCTGATTCACAAGAATCCTTTTCCCGGGGATTACAGTTTGAGGGTATTAGGTACTACACAGGAAGAGGCAGCTGGTCTCATTGCATTCATGGTCAGGAAGCAGAAAGCAATGAATGCTAGCACCTCTCTTACAGTCTTTTCATTCTGACTGGGACCCCAGCACATAGAATGATGTCACTCGAATTCAGAATGGGTCTTCTTGCCTCAGTTTAATCAACCCATATGGCAGCTCACAACTGTAACACCAGTCTGAGGGCATCTGAAGTTCTCTTCTGTCCTCCATGGCAGGAGACAGCCACATAGGGCAAAGGTATATACAGTCAAAACACTTATACACATAATAAAATTAAAAATAAGAAGAGAAAAAGGATGTTTTGTGAAGGATAAAAAGAAGTAATTCCATTTAATTATCTTTTTAATATTAGGCTCAAGATTCATTTTTTTTAGTATTGGCCTGCTTTATAAAATATTGTTCCCCTCTCATCCTGAGATGCCTTTTTCTCTATCCTTTAGTTAATATTATTTAGTTTATAGTGCAATGAGACAATAGATACAGTCATTAAATATTAGCATACGAGAACACATTCAAAGCACGAAGTGGAACTCAGTGGTAGAGTTGTAGGTTTAGCATGTTCCATGCCTTCGATTCACTCCCCAGCATCAAACCAAAACCAACGAGCCAAGCAAGCAGACAACAACAGAAACCTATGCATTGTATAAATGATTTCAAGTCACCATGTATCCAGATACAAAGTAGCCTTCATTACATCCATTATTATTTGGGAGAATACTATGTGATATCTTGACAACAGGTATAGGTTTAGCTTTTCTCATACAGGATGTTATAAAGTGATAGTTACCACGAGACAAAATATTTGAATTGGAAGGAACTATTTCCTAACTCTGAAATAAAGGCAGCCTGTCAGAAAAGACTCACACAGTGTGGAGTGCTTCTGAAGGCAGGTGAGTTCTGGTTCCTTCCTAGAGAGCCGTCAGCAGAGCTCTTTCACAGAACAGGTAGGAAGGGAGAAGGCTCCAAGGCAAACTCCCAAACCGGAAGTATAATGTATCAAAGAACTCCCCGGAAGAGGTGTGAAGGAGTCATGTTTCACTTAGACCCCTTTGGATTACTTGCTAAAAGGTTAATCATAATTACAGTAAAGTGTGTTAACACCAGAAATTTAGTAAAAATTGCTGTGGTGTTTGACAAGGATAGGCTAGAGCCCACTAAAATCCACCTTGGATTCAGAAGGGCCTGTCCTCCCTTCCTTCTTTTTGTTAGACTTCCTAGTGGGCTATGGCAACGTTGAACACATCCTCTAATCAAAAGCAACTTTTGGTCTCTTTGGTAAAATGTCCGGGCGACTTCATTCCAAATCTGTTATTACCAGGCCATCGTTTTCCTTTACAAAGCCCACGGGACTCCATCTTGGGTCAGTTCCTTCGTTTCCTGTGACATCTTCTTGGTTTATGTCTTCTAACTTTATTTTCTTGGTGTCTTGAAATAACCGAGTCACTGGTCCGACCCTGCTCTTCTCAGCTCCCTGCATTAAGTGATCATTTGCTTCGGGATCTATCGGCGCAGCAGGTGAATGAGTAGCAGCTTTACTCAGCAAAAATCCCATCGGGACCGCTGGTCAAACATTAGGGAAGTGTGAGGACCCCTCTTTAGTGGGACTGTTTCTCCAATTGGGTTACTGAAAGAAAATCAATAACAAGTGAACACAGTAGGAACACCCACAATTTCACTTCGATGTCTCTCTGAGGGGAATGCTTTTCTGGTGGTGGTGAGAACACAGGACTACACTCCACCCTCCAGTGTTTGCATTTTCTTTTTTTAGCAAAAGATTTTATTTTTATTCTGCTACGTGTCTGTGTGTGGATCTGTGCATGTAGGTGCAGTGCCCAGCCAGCCCAGATCCTTGCACGCTGCCCGATGTAGATCTGAGAGCACGGCTCCTGGCTGTCGCTCCAGCCCCCTTTACACTTATTTACATTTTCTTTTTGGGAAGGAATGTAGGGCCTATTGATTTCCTTGAAGGTCTTCTAAAACTTATATCCACCACCACCCCCTCTTTCTCTCTCTAGCTATCTGTAGGTGTGGGTGCCACAGTGTGCATGTGTGTGTGTCTAAATTAGAGAACTACTGAGAACAACTTGTGAGAGTCAGTACTCAGGGTCTTCACGGTTTACCTTGTGGTTCTTGCCACTGCCAGGTTTAGTGGCAAATGCCTTTCTAA